CTATAACCGGGTCGATGAATTACTGACAGTTCACCTAGGAGAGTTGGTTAAAAACCTTAATTCCAAACCAACCAAGAAGCGGCCTACGAACCACGCACACGCCTTTCTGGTCGTGAGTGATCACCGGCTCGATTTGGCATCGAGATGTATTGGGCACCTTGGACTTTTGATAGAGTCCAAAGGGCGTATTATTCGATGAACTTGACACCGGCCCCCAATAGATTGTGGTTTTTACACACCGCTTCGCTGCGTTGCGGGTCAGGCTTTCGTTAGCCGAAGGCTCCGGTTGTGGAGTCCTCAAGAAAATTCACTTGTCTTGGCGTGGGCAACCTGGTAGTATCGCACCCACGAGCAACTTATGGATCTGTTTTTCTTTTATAAAGATTATTGTACCACGATTTGTTTGGTACATAGTATGAACTCAGACACGTGAGCAAAATATAATACAATATAGATCCCGGTTACTGAGATAATAAATCGGTGCTTTGAAAAAAGACGCATAGAGGTGCGGCATTAGGGAAGCTTGACTGCATACTACACTACTGGCAAGAGCTCATCCACGCACTCTCGTTGCGCAAATATGCTTCATGGAAATGTTTGTTTGTGTGCGGGAATCTTTACACACAAAGTGCAACCGAGCACGAATTGATCAATGGGAACAAAGATGGTGAATGTATGGATGATAAGGCCTGACAGGAAAAGGATGGCAGAGTTATAGATGACGTGATACCAAGCGGACTAAGATGAGGCGTACGAAACTGTTAAAAAGAATAGTGAACATGCAAACCACCGGCTTGATTGTGTGTGTGTGTGTGCTGGATACTTTACACGTCACAGCCCTTCCGAATGGTATAATCCAACCAAGGGGACACCGACTTCGCATGCACCGCAAAACAAAAGTGCCACCCCTGATTGCCTATTGGGTAGATTTTTACCAACATAATAAGCAGTGGAGTGAGATCGCCTGCTACTGGTGTTTGATCGATTGAGCAGACGAACAGCTGACAAAAACAAATGGAATAGAAACCAAAAATCCACGACCACGTTTATGACCGTTTGTTTGTCTTTGTTGAATGATAACATCATACCCGGTGGGTGAATAATTCAATCATTTATAGAGAAACTAGAACCGCACATTGGTGCAATTAATCCCCGTGGCCTGGGATAAGCGTCCTAATTATCAATCAGAAAGAACCAGGAGACTCAGTGAACGGCCCGAAAAATAGTGCAATTCAAAATATAGCACTAGCTTTATGAAGTATTGCTCATGTTTGTGAGTAGTGTTTTAGTGCACGCACAAAGAAGCGGTTCTTGGATTTCTACGTCATCTGCGAGTGGATCAAAGGATTTATTAATTGTAACTACAGGAGAGACAAACAGACTGTCGAGTTGACCATCATTGATGAAGAGACGTTCACAAAAATACTAACCAACTGTTGCAAATTAAACGTTTCGTTCTGTATAATCTTATTTTCCCGATCTTAGGCTGTTCATCAAATAAATAACCATCCTCAAACCGACAACGGACTTGCGGAATTACAACACTAGTAGCAAACATAGCAGCATCAGTTTCAGCTGATGAATGAATTATAACTTTCACAAACAAACTGTTTGTGGAACCATTGTGCGAGTAAAACTGGTTCCAGACAGAGGAAGCTAGATTTGAGTCATGCATGGAAGAAAAAAACAATCCAGAAGCGCTGATTAATAACAATAACAATAATAATAGTAACGAACCTCAACCCAATGATTCCATGTAGCGAAAAATCCGCAAGGGGCAGGTGATCGTACAGTCCAATTCCGTAATAATTCACTCACAGAGAGAATCGGTGGACGATCCGACGGCATAACAAACTCGCCTGGCTCAGATGTATTCAAGAAGAACCAACCCAGTGTAGGCATCCGGGTACAGTCAATTTCACTGACTATCCAATCCGGCCATTGAGATTTCTCAGATGATCCCGGTGGAGAAGACAAACGGTTACATTCAACTAGGTGAACCGAATCGGAATCTGCGGATCTGGCGGTGTGCAGTGGAGTGAGGAGACTGAGCAATAGGAACAGGACTTGAATGGTACCGAGTAAAGTGAGCGAGGTGTCGTTCGTGTATGTCGGTGAAAGAACTTGACCCGTCGAGGAGGCGGAAGAAGTCGTCGGGCGAATTTTGTACGCTCGATGAACAGTCTCAGTGAGTAGAGCACGTGGAATGCTAAACAATTCATCGCCCGGGGTCAAACTGCTCGGAAGCAAACCTCGAAGTCGATGCGTGAATCCATCGCTCCGGAGATGAAACCGCACCAGGGAAAAAGTGTAACTGCATCGAATTAAGCGACTCCCGAGAGGTTGAATCTTGGGGGAAAGTTTTGACCATAGATGCATGTGAAGTCTATAGAAAACAAAAAAACGGAGTAAGCAAATAAATTACGGATAAAAATACGAAGAAGCAAATAAGAGAAACCAGTACAAGAGTTTTAATCATACTTGACAGAAATACAGCTCTCTAAAACTGTCAACGAATTCTTTAGTCGGGCATCGTGCATTCATACCATATGTACGAGGAAGATTAATTGAATAAAGGCATCTACATCACTTGAATTTGATTCAAAGTGGGTTTCCTCTTAGAGGAACAATCTCGGTCATACGAAAATGATCGTCGGCTACAGCCCATTCTGGGATTCCTGGATCTCACCCAAGTGGCCCGGGTTCGACTTCCGGTGTGGTAGTGCATTCCTCCGGAAGCCTCAGTCGGGGGTGGGTGTATAGGGTTGCGGCTGGTCACCCGTCCCTTGCACCTCGAGAAATGCTCCCATACGACCAAGCGTCTCAAACAGCCTCTGCCGAGGAAGCCCTACTCACTGACTTCTCGTGGCGGAGACGTTTTCCCACCAAAGTGAGAGGACGAAAAGCCAACATCCGGGGCTATAAAAGGGTTGGTGGACCATTGGTAGTTCACCTACGGGAGTTGGCCAAAAACCCTGATTAAAAACCAACCAAGAGGTGTACGAACCACACCCTTTCGGTTGTGGCAATGATCATTGGCTCGATTGGGCATCGAGGTGTATTGAGCACCTTGTACTTTTGACCCTGTCCAAAAGGCGTACGATCCGATGAGCTTGACACCGGCTCCCAATAGATTGTGGTCTTCACACACCACCTCGTTGCCTTACCGGTCAGGTTTTCGCTACCCAAAGGCTCCGGTTGTGGATTGTTGAAGAAAATTCACCTGCCTTGGCCTGGGAAATCTGGCAGTATTCAACCCACAAGCCAATCATGGAACGTTCTTCTTTTTTATAAAGATTATTGTACCATGATTTGTTTGGCACACAGTCTGNAAAACATATATATATATATATATATATATATATATAATGCTCGAGGTGTTCCATTTACTGCGCTCACGTGGCGTTGAAGTAGCTGCTGAACTGGAAGAATAACGGAAAAATAGCAAAATTTTCAACAGGGTTGCACCTCTCGCCACTCCTAATCTCGCTGATTCCAAAAGAAAAATAATCACTTCCCGGACGTGGTGTTCCAATCAGTTATCTCCGGAAAACAGTGAATTTTCCGCAGCACAGCATTGTCTCACTTAGTAAAATTGTAACCGAGCCTCTCAACGAAACTGGCAAACAAACCAAAAGGCCAAATATGACCGTATTGTGTTCGATTCAAAGGTTAACGAATCAGGTCACACATGCCAATGGAAAGTAAATGAAGTCAATCAAACCATAGTTTTCCCGCAGCCAGCTTCATAACCGACAGACGGTAAATCTCTAGTAAGATTCATACTGCGGAACCGAAAGAGGTCATCGCTCGCAACAGCACACGTCTGGCACCTTAGAAAGCACAAATCGGCTTCCATCCGACTGCAATAATTTCATTCTCATTAGGGGCTCCGGTGTCTCCAAGCAATTACTGACCCTGAACCGAGTGAACCGCAATCCACGTAGCACATCATCAACATGAATTGGTAATTCGGTTCAGTCCTGGTATAATCTGGTTGGCACACTGATAACATATACACCTTTCATGCGATGGGTCCGGAGACGAGAGGGTGGATATACTCTACTGATGAGTTCTAGTAAGAGCGAAACTCGGGTCTGGTGCATGGAGTTGTCCTCAACGTCATCAATGTTGCAGTGATATTGGTATTCACACCAAGGTTCAAACGGGTATGGGAATACTGTTGACCAGCTTTCGAAGCTCGCCTAGCGCAGTTCTTACGGGAAACCCAATTCGAGGTCCAATTAATTCCACAGTATTGTAATGATTTCTTTGGGAAACGAAGATGATGTGTGTAACCTACTAACGCTTAAATACCAGTAGAAATATACCAGCAAATCACCAATGTGAACACTGCACAACATCGAGAATCAAGATTTTTCCCTTCGAATCAATCTCACGAACATACTGTGTTGATCGAGCACGACTGAAACATTCTAGTTAAATGCATTTGTTTACTAGCGCAGGCAATAGTTCACATCTAACTATGCCTTGGATAATTTCGCGCGTCAAACAAAATTGAGGCCCCCCCCCCTCCTTAGAATATAGGTAAACTGACCCACGCATTCAAAATACGATGAATACAGTTCGGTCACTCAAACGACGCACTACAATCAGTTCCAGTTTGTATAACCATTAACCATGCATTTTCGTGCATCGATTTCGGTTGCTTTTTTGGCGACCATTTGGATGAAGCACGGGGAGAAGGACAGGAAAGTTTACAATAGAGTAGAAAAGACAATGGAGAATTTCAGTACATTAAGGTTGCAAAAAATGGAGAAGATGCACGACACTCAGCTACATCACTCAGTGTCTCTAACCACCGGTTACGATCATCCCGAGGTCCCCATCCAGGGAGCCTAACGGGGCGTATGTGCTCGAATCTCCTGGTTTGTTTATATACCCTCGTGCCAGGTCTTAGCTCGATCCACTCACTACTTGCCTCAGAAAACATGGTGCGTCGTGGCAACCAATTTGGTGACATGCATAACACATGCCCCAACCAACGTAATTTATGGAGGTTAACCACTTGATTCAGTGGGTGACCACGGTCAACCAAAACTCTGCGCCTAACCTCATCATCGCTCATCCGGTTACCACACCAGATTTGTGCAATGCTTTTCTATTTCACACCGGTATGTGTGTGCGATGGACAGCAGAGGGCGTGGAACCCCATAGTCACAAAGGCCTGCTGTTCAGTGATAGTAACCGGCAACCTAAGGTCGGGACTTGGAGTGGCGAACTACATAAGGCCCCGCCAGATCAGACGTGGCATAGAACCGGGCGACAGCAAAGTTGTCTACCACCAAAGTTGGGTGGCAGTGGCGGGGCTCGAACCTCGGACCACAGGATCCAAATCATGCCGGTGACAGCGACTAAACCACTGTGCCACCCCCATCATATAACAGAACTGCAGCCCCTTGATTGGCCGCTTCTCCATTCCTGAAAATTGTATCTTTGCATATTCAAAAAAAAGGAAAGAAAAAATGAAAAGATCTGCCGCAGCATGCACTCCACCCTTCACGGACAGCCGGATGTCGCGATGGTGCCACAGATGGCTTAAGTTGGTAAATGCCAATCAAGCCTTCTATATGCAAATTGACACCTTATCCGTGATAAGTCCACCGCCATAAAATCTGGTTGAATAGGTGTTGCAATCTAGTTGCTCGAAATACGACGCACCTCAACCATCAATCTTCCGCTTTCAACCAAACACTGTGATCGTTGACCGACAGGAAGACTACGCTTAGAGGCGTACTTTCGGAAGTGACTTGCAAAGTGGTCATTACTAACAAAAATAGCTCGTCTCTGAACGCGTGGTCTCACATTGTGAAAGACAGAATCAGAATCAAGGGAAACTCGATAAATAGCATCCCTAAAAATGAAACTTTGTACCATTCAGTTCAGTTCAGTCTACGCAACCTCAGACTGTCGTGCACGGGCTTTGGATGATATTGTTGGGTCAAACAAGGATGAAGCACTAAATGGAAAAGAGAAAAGCTTGAGAACAATATCAAGATGAAGATACAAAAAACAGGTGCGCCAGATATCCCAGTAGAAAAAGAATAGACGCTCACGAGAGTACCAATGTTAAGGAGATATTTAAACATACTAGTCAGTGTTGTGAATGTTACACATGGAGCATTGATTTTTCGATACATTCCTAACATCATTTGGTCCCGATGTATTAAAAATGATCACCAATCAGATTACTCTGGGAAGAAAGATACTAGTAAGCGTCTCTAACCATCAATAAGGCTGCTACTTTCCGAGGTCACCGAACGAGAAGCCTTATGTAACGAGGTAAGTGGCTTCATATTCGTGTGAGAAGGTTTTAGTTTGACCATCCCTGGCGATTTTCTACCTATCCGATGCCACGACCCTAGCCCACCCACAACAATCTGTAGGTGTAGACTTCACAGGCTACAACGTTCCACGTAGAGTGACGCGTAAAAAACTCGGAAGACGGTGTCTTTCAACAAATAGGTTTCTTCTACAAATGCGGTACTGAAATACAGATTACAATAGTGTAAAATATGCAAACCTCAAACTGTGGCACTAGCTGGTTAACAAAAACCGGAATCTGTGAAGCCAGTAAATCGACAAGCAAGAACTGCGAGCAAGCAGGAGCGCAGTGCGGTGACAATAGAACGAATACACCGAACAATGTCGAACAAGATCACATGAATCTGTGGTGGTTAATAGTGAGAAGTGACCTAAGGGGAACCAATCACAACACAGTGGGTGTGAATGTGTCACCAGGGCCCGTCATGACAGGAATCGGTGTAGGTGTGTGTACACAAGTGATAGTCAGTCGATCATGGGGACGGGTCGACGAGACGGATGAGACCGACAGAGGTCAACGTAATGGGACAAACATACTAATAGTGCGTGTGTATGTGTAAACGGCGTGGAGAACAGTCACAGAAGGCACAGATCAATGAGGGATGAAATCAACAATACACGATCAAAGGGAAGACAATGGACAATTGGATAAGTGGTGCTTGGTGTGTGTGCATGTGAAGAGTGTCAATATGCGGAAGAATTTATTCTACAGTAGGGATTAAGCATTTGCGTTAATGCATGATCGCAGTTATCGAATGCTCGTCACTTAAGCTCGTCAGTGCTCATCCGCCGGTCCAATTAGATGAGTGTGATACAACATAGACCGCGTACATGTTATCCTTATTTATCGTTAACGCTCAACCCTATGAAATATATTGCAGCACCCAAAGGACAGCAGCCAAGGCTGACACTCATTCCACGCTATCCACGTTCACAAACAATTGCACCGGATCTCACCGTTTGCATTTATCCCGCGAGCAATGACTCTGTGGATTCGGTACATTTCGGCCCACAATCCAAAGCGAAAATAACAATAACTTACCGTTCTGTGAATGGTTTGTTCTTGGGTTCCGGGCCGAATCGAAACTCGTCGGGATCCACCGGGAATTCGGTCAGATCTAAGATCAGCATGGTTAGACATGGACCGAAACAATCGGTCAGCATACGCTGTTCCCGTTCCACCAGTAAATTCCAATTTAGTGAGTGCTCCTCAGACTCGAACGAGCTGTTGTCCCGGTTAGCCGTGTACTGATCCAATGTGGCGGCGAAATTCGAACGACGCAATCGAGTGAGCAAATCGTAACGGAACGCGATCCACAAACTGGACAGTAGGATGGGACTGTCGCGAAGAGAGAGAGAGAGAGAGAGAGCGTAGCGCGATAACAGTGCATACATTGATACCATAATGCGCAACAAAAACAATCTGCTGTGACTCTGGCGATCGAACAATGCAATACCGTACAACAATGACATGGCCATGAAAACGAAGAAAAATTTCGAACAATCATTCATTCCGATTTCCGGTGTGCAAAATACGGATGCCCTGTCTGATCTGGGCTCGTGGTTATAGTCACAATGCAAACGACCACGAGCATCATCACCCCGGTTTCTGTTGTAAGCTGTTTTCATTGATCCGAACGCAAGTGTAGCCATGTTCGGTATGCGTTTTATACCTTCAAAATGTAAAATCCTGCTACAAGATGGGATTGGTTGAGCGCCCAAATTGACTCTTATCGAGGGGTTAACGGGAGGGCAGAAAAACATTGCCGTGTTTAGGCAAGTAAAATTCATCCAACACGCGTAGCGTTTTCTAATCTAAATAAATTCAGTGGTAACGCGACAGTTGGCCGATCCTGAAGGGTCGAGGGAATGCTGCAGGTATCCATTCAATGCTATTGTATAGTACAGCGATGTCACTATTGGGTGAACAAAGACTTTGGGAGTTCAGATACCGCGTTCTCTGCAGCATTAGAGCATTAACCGAAAGACGAGAAGCAATCAGCTAACCGCGGTCATGCACCGAAGCAACTGCTTGACCTTTACAGATCGCGGTGGTTGTGGTATGTTCTGCGCATCTCATCGGATAGGCTTCCCATTGTCGAAGCAGGTAATCGGTGGGAAGAAGATCAAGTTTCATTCGCACACACAATGGGCTTAGCCATGTAAGACGCGTTAAGCATCCAGATTAGAGATCACACAACTCAACGAGTACCTGGATACCTAGGGTTAGGCAGAGCTGAATGCTACCAAGCGCTTCCTTGGGTTGTGGATAGGGGGATACCTTCACCAGAGTAGGTTAGCTGTGAATGAGTTGTAGCATACCGCAACAAATAAACAGTCGCGAACAAACAGCGGCAGCACTACCAGGGTGTGGTGGATTTCAGGCTGGTCACCTGGCTCCTGTTTAAAAGCCACATTAGCCCAATGATGGTGTCGTGACAAAGATCGATGTGTCTAGCCTGTTAAAACTAAAGTCATTGACCCTCTCATTTCTGGGGTGAGGGATTACTTCCTGCTGCCTTGCAGTTCGTACTTGGTTGTGCAAAGGCTAGGGGTGCGCGCTTGAAATAGAAAACGCCGAGTGACGCTGGGGACGTCTCTCGTACCAAGGTCCCAGGGAACTTCATGATCATGATCATGCCTGGAACCGGTGGGGGGATTACATGCTGCAACCCATGTTGATTGGAGAAGGTTTAACCGATCTGTCCGTACCATTTGACACATCTCGCACGGCTACAGTGTTTATGTATGACACGTGATACTCCTAGGAGTAAAAATCTCAAGTGTAACTCAAACGATACATTGTTTCGCATTCACACGTCCTGAAATAAATCAAAAGGCATATGGTTACCATTACGTATATCTACTTAAAGGGAACTCTGTTTTTGACGTATGGATACATCAAAAGGTCGATGATAATAAACACTGCTCACAAAAGACCTCTTTAGAACATCGTTTCCCAAGAAACAAAACCGGTAATAATCAAGCCTCGACCGTGGCAATTATAACTTACGTTGCATAGTTAATAAACTAATGAAAGTTATGAGGGTGTACTTTTACGAACGATTTGTTATCCTCAGCAGGTTTGGTATCTCCTTTTGATGAACAGAGTTTACTTGTTAATGCAAAACAATGTATCGTTTGAGTTATACTTGACCGTTGGTTAGAGACACTGAGTGATATGGTTGTGTCGGAAAAAGTGGAGTTCATGCAACTTCTCAATTTCACTGTAACCCTAGTCTACTGAATTTCTCCCGTTTCTATTCGGCTCTACCTCTAACTTAACTGTCTTTCTCCTTCTTACCGCCTCATTCAAATGAGTAGCGAAGAGATGGAAACCAAAACCGGTGCACGAAAGTTCATGGTTATTGGTTGTGAAAACTGAAACTGTTCATTCGGTCTTTTGTTCGATCGGGAAGACAAATGAAGAGTTGATTTATGAATTTGCACTTCTGGGTTATTGGTCTCGATGGAATCCGGGATGTGGACGATCAATCAGTGTTTACATTTTTGTGATAAGGGTATTATCACTGTATTGAATGGTAGTTAAAAGCTCGCATCGGAGGTATTAACGGAAATTCGGATTTATTCTAGAGTAGGTAGAAAATAGCCTCTCGAAAAGAAGCGCAATGAGATACGTGCGTCCAAGTTGTTGGAGATCTAGACTCACCAATCACGTTGAGTCCCAATGATAAAAGCAGCTATGAAAAACCATATTTCCCGGATTTTAGTTGTTGTTAATCACTAAGGGCAAGAGGTGACAACTCACACAAATAAGCGGGTGCAGAAATAAAATGAAAGCCGGCAAAAACTATTTTCAGCAAAAACCGGACTGTGTTACATCACATCAGCCGGAAATAACGCACCGAGTAACGCTTTCCTCGTTCCGTTTGGAATCTGATCCAACATTAGGACAGTCGGACAGAAGACAATGAATTTTGCCGACTATGCGATTCGCATCCAGACCGTTTTCCCGAGCGACTTGAGAAGCCACGTCTACGACAACGGCAAAATGACCGGAGGAGGTGAAGAATATCCAAAGTGATTGATCGACTCACGCACAAAAATAGGCTAGAATTAGGGCAAACGAAATTCAAGTCTACCTTGTAACAATAGAAACTGAAGTTCTAACAGCGCAACAAGACAAACGGGTGGCGACCCGGGGTTAACATCACCAAATAACGACCCGGAGGATGTTGGAATCCCACCACCACTGCCTGACTTCTCCAATTGTGTGTTGAATGGCAGCCCTTTGACTGGTCACTTCCCCCTTCCTGAAAATCGTATCTTTGTATATTCAATAGAAGGAAGTAAAATGAAACAATGAAAAGAACAATGTGTGCTAGAATTGTACGATGGAAAGTAAAAGGATGTCCGCGAAGATGAAAGCATACGAGAACCCCATCTGTCTGAAAAGAAGTCACAAACTATTACCAGTAGAAAAAATTTCTTGTTCTTAACATCCACGCATAA